TAACTACATGGCTCAATACCAACCTAAAAAGAAAATTTACCACCTATTTCCAAAATCATAGTTTGAATACATACCAAAATCCTGTATATAGGTTTTTCTGAGGGAAAAAATCCTGTGTGACACCGAACTGAAGAGCTATCATGACATCTTCAATGTCTTAATATTTTATACTATTAAGTGGAAGTATAATAATTTCTTGAGATGGTTAAATTACCATTTACTTTGACGTAAGAATTTGAAGTTTTTAACCTACAAATGACAGGAATTGCAATGTATATAGAGCTCACAAAAAAAGATAAGGAATCCTACAAGAAAATCTTGAATATTATGACTAAGCATTTAAGTATATGCTGATTAGGATGCTGCATGTGTAAATAATCAATCTTAGGGAATATATCTGCCTTTACTACAAATAACAAAGCCACCATAGGTTGGGCATGGCAGCCTTCACAAACACCTTTCAGTTATATCTGGAGTCATCAAATAGTATGCGTGTTCAGTTTCCTCTTTGCTCAAGCATATAAGGGAAAGCAGCAACATATTTACATTCAAATATGTTGCATGAGCCAGCCAAGAACCCAAGCATATCTCTACCAGCCTCAAGCCAAAACATAGTGATAATTAACCATGCATACATGTTGCGAAAACAGGCGATTAAAGTCTAATGCAAAGAAACAAGTATCCCATACTTTATATCCAAGTTCGTCCACAACGTTGCTCATGAACTGGAACTGGTCTGGACAATCCTGCAGCAGAGTCATTAGTAAGCCTCAGTATAAGGTTAATAGACAATAAATATTGTAAATGTTGGGTTAGAAATTACCCCATTATCATCCCCATATAAGGAATCTACCAGTTTTTCAATAGCAAATTCCCCTGCAGGAGCACACAATTAGAGTTACCCCTACAGATTAGACTAGGCCAAGGCACAACTTATCTTGTGCAAGATTATCCTTATACCCACCCACAATAATCGGGAGTAGAAAGTCACCATCACAAGAAATCTTCAAAAAAATTGTTGGACTGTGAAACCGACGAAAGAAACTGAGCCCAATCGGACTGAAATGAGGCTTTGATGCCTTTGTCAGGACAGAACTGGGATGCAAGTGCCGAGAAGATTGCCATTTGATTTCATCTTGAAACCCTTGTTGTCTCATGCGGTAGTGCAAGATGGTCTCTGCAGTAGTTGAAGCAACGCAAATTTAAGGATGCATATATAGACAAAAGAAAAATGAAAAGAAACACCACTTCCCCGCCCCTCCCCCTCTAAAGAAAGGAAGTTAAATCTGGAACAAAATCTACTGAATGGCAAATTATACAACGAAAAGGAAACCAAATTAATTTTACTAACGAGCTGCATATATTGAATCAAGAAATTGAATTGAATATTCATTATATATTGCATTTGAATTGGTTATATAACTGGAAACTATTAAAACCAGACAAGTTGATCCAGAATTAGGAGAACTTATGAACTTAAAAAGTTACAGCAACGAAATTTTATGATTACAAAAATAAATTACCAAATACAGTAGAAAGACCACCGGGAATTACAAGGTTATCGGCATCCTCGTTTTGATCAATGACCACATCAAACCACAAACCTACTTACCTACCGTAAGGCATACTCTTATAGATAGCAAAAGAAGAAGAAATTTAAACTAATTAAAATAATCCAAACGCAAGTTACTTAATACTGGAGCAAATAGGCTACGCAATAAATAAATACAAAAATCGTGTATATACAGAGGGAGGGACCTGAAACAAGGAGGGAAGCTTGAAGATAGTCAGGGTGGGAATCACCGTCAGCATTGGATCGGGCATCAAAGCTTCCGTGAGAGGAACTGCAAGAAATGGAGATCGGTTTCGGGATACGACATCGTTTTGTGGTTAGGCATAACCGAATCGACATGTATTGAAACGATGAGGAAGAGGAAAGACTGACGATTGAAGACGAGGGAGTCGCATTTCTCTGATCCGACAAAATGCTATAGCCTGATACTGTGCGGAGGCATGAGTGAGCTCCAAGCATTGTCACAGACGCGGACAGGGAGGGAGAGATGGAGAGAGGTGGTAAGCAGGCAGGGAAGGTAGGTTGGCGAAAGTGGCAACAAAGTTATAGCGAAGAGCAACTAACAACACGACTTTCCACGTCATACTAAATCGGTCACTTATCGTCTGGGAACATCGACGACAGCGATAAGATATTTTATTTTATTTTATCCAATTATTATCATTATTTCAATAATTATAAAATTCTTGTGAATCGACCAAATCCATCGTCTAACATTTTATTTTATTTTTGATAAAATTTAATTAACCTCATATAATAATTATACACATAAATATTTTAAATATAAAAATAGACGTAATATTATTATTACTCTGCAATTAATTTTTAGTTGACTGTAAATTCTAAAATTAAATACCACATAAATTTCTGATTACTTATTTTTTTCTCTTTCTATTTCATTCTTCCTGCATCTCTCTCATAAAAAATTAAAAATATACTAATTTTTCCCGCATAGTATTTTTATACAAAATAAAAATTATATTTTTGCGTCTGCTATTCCAAAAAGAAAGTAGAGTTTGAACTCTCGCACGTCCAGTTAGTGGCCTCTCTCTCGTTATGAGTTTAGACCAATAATATACATATCCAGTATAATAATATACAATAGCCAATAGCCATGGTCGTTCATGTCTGCTCTCGATTGATGGACATGTAATAGCGCAGAAATAAGCAGATCAGTCAAGGGTCGATACTTGTTGCTTCTAGTCCGTCCAACTTGAATATGAAACAGAGACAAGTTAATAGCCGCGTAAAACTCACAGAGATTTATAATGGGCTCAAAATAACTTAAGTGACTACAAAATCCCAGATGATCAATGTTTTACAACGAGTAATCACCGACTTACGATGGCAATTAGCCAAAAGTTTTTGCTTTCCTCTATGGAAAAATTGCTTACACAGCTCTAATCGGTTAGGTGATCGTCGGGTTCCTTTTCCTAGGAAGCAGCTTCAGCAACTTGATCAGTTCATAAGTTCTCGTACTTTGTCCGGAATAGAGGCAAAGATCTAATGGGGTTAACCCATCCTGCAAAAGTAGAAAAAATGCAGTAACACTGATGAATATTACAGAATCACAAAATGGATGTTTATGGTGCTAATTGCGCTCGTGAATTACTTTCATAGAATCAAGTAGCAAAGTCCCTTTAAAAATATGTCAGCTGTTTAATAATGACCATTTGCATCTCTAAAGGATTCCGGCATTCGAAAGAGCAGGGAGATATATATAGCCTGCAAACCTAGACTTATTACCATTCCGTAAAATGGGCTACATCTCAGAAGAGCTGCTCCGCAGAAAATATACAATGATGTTAACAAACATTGACTGGATATTTACCTTGTTTTTTAATGTTTCATCTGCTCCTTTTATCAATAAAAGCTTAACAATGTCAGTTCTCCGGGTTTGAACTGCAAGATGTAATGGCGTCCATCCATCCTGAAAAGAAAATTAGAGAAAATCTTCAAGAAAATGTTGAAAAACTGGGGAGAAACATGTAAAGCAAAGACAAGCAGAATCAACTATACATTGTCCTGAAGATTTATATCAACATTGTACAATAGGAGAAGCTTAATAGCCGGAATTGATGCCCTCTGGACAGCATAGTGTAACAGGGTAGCACCATCCTGTTGGCAAAAGAAGCTGCAGAATTAGCATTTCAACAAATAAAGTAACATAGCCTGTGAGCTACAACAGTTCTGGAACTAATTATTTCAGGAAATTGAAGAAACATTACATTTATGATTATTAAGTAATATTATAGAATACATGATAAAAAAATCTATACAATTGTGAGAAAGAAGGATCTCTACTAATGCGTCCATCTATATATAAAACAAAAGATACAGTAAAAAATGAAGTGAATCAGCATTGCCAAATTTTCAGGTACAGCATGTTGTCGTTGCGTCCATATTTAGATGATGACCTTCCTAAAAAAATAAATTACAAATAGTGCCCACAAGAAATTTTGCATATCATAATAATTCTTAGATGGGCCAAAATAAATAAACTCTAGTCAAAATAAAATAGTCTCCACTCACTTCGTCACGAACAAAAGGGTTTGCTGATTCTCTTAAAAGGTAGTTGGTTATAGCTTGCTGTTTTGCAATTATTGCTCTGTGGAGCGCAGTCAAACCATCCTGGAAAATTCATAGGAAACAAATCTCAAGACCAGGCAAAAGAATCCCTCCCAGGAAATTTAACCACCAAGTATCTAAACGAAGTATGAGAAATGCAGATGTAGACAATAATCCATGTAACAATAAGCAGCAGCTCTCCAAGCAGTACCTTATCAACTGCATTGATGTCAACATTATGTTTCAGCAAAGCATGGACAAGATAGAACTCTCCGCATGCAGCAAGTGTGTGGAGAGGTAGCCATTTGCTCTGAGAAGGTTTCATCAAAAGTGATAATATTAAGAAATTTAAGTTCATGCCTAAACAGAGCTACAGTCATTTCACAAGTCCGTGGAAAAAAGAAAAAAAAAAGCTAAATTACACATAATATCATTCCTGATTCTGTATGACCTACCATTCTAAATCATTAAGCCCACAAGAGCGGATGGTAATTAAGCATGAGCTATTAAAGTCCACTGCAGTATAAAATAGGTTGAGATTAATACTTAGTTGAGTAGTGTACTTTAACCCTGACAAAAACTAAAAGTTCTGCATCACCGTCGATGTTGCATTTTACAGCACTATCCATTTTGGATCCGAAGCACAAATAACTTGAGAGGTAGAGTATGGAAAACATAACAAATCACTGGGAATCACAAAACTTGGGAAACTTACAGAGGTAGCAGCAGCAAGATCAGGTATGCGGCTATTAAGTAGAACCTTTTCCTCCTTTGTAAATAACTTACGGACCCCTGTTATTATGAGATAATAAATATCTATACCAATATCTCAATTGCATATGATGAAGTAAGAAATGTCATATCTGTCAGGCAATATGAAACTAGGTAGCACTAAGTTTGCCGTTTGCAAGCCTGAAGAAAAAGGTACAAAGCAAGAAAATAATATGTTGATGCTGGCAGAGAAGAAAGCAACAAGATGCATGGGCATGACAAAGAAAACAAAGCAACAAAATAAGCTGGCAGAGATTCAAGCACCAAACTTATAAGCTGCATCTAGTAAAATGTTGCCACAAATATATAACTCTAACTATACCACTCTGGAAAGACCATAATCTTATAACAGGATTAGAATAGCCCAATCCACTCGAGATTACAGCTTACTTGGAGTTGTCTTCAGTTACAAATTTACTCAAAGTTCATATCCAAACTCAGAAAATCTAATCAATTCTTCAAAACACTAGGGGCACTAACAATGCTGCATCAAATAGATTCCTTGTTTGACGCAAAGAAAAAAAAAAGGTTTTATCTGAATTACCTTGAGATTTCTTGTCACCAGGCACATAATTCTCGCTATTGAAAAATTTGGAGACGTCGTCGAATCCCCTGCCATAAACCGCCCATCTGGGATTCTTTGGCGCCACTCGCTCACTGGAAAGAAGAAGAACCCTCAATTTCATGGTGTGCAGGTTCTTTATCTTCCCTTGACCCGGAAATGGGAAGGATCATCGAGTACCAAGGGCTTTAACTGAGCCAACTTAGCCTGCTTGTAAGACAAATGTTCCTGCAAGTTGAAATTCCTGATGGGAAGTAAGCCTTTTTTCCTCTTCTCAACTCGGACTCCAAACTCCAGCTGTTGAGCGATCTTTCGTCTCTCTTTCTTAGTGATGTTTACCTCGTCTTGAACGTGCCTCCATTCCTGCGGGACCAAGTTCTGGGGCTCAATCTCTGCCACCTTGTTCTTGGGTTTGGACTTAGAATTCTTTTTGGTTGGGGGTTGATGTTGGTTTGGATTGGGGTTTTGGAGGTAGGGGTCGTCGAAAATGCCGTCTTCGAAGACAAGGCAGTCGCCGATAACAAGGTCATCTTGGACGTCGTCGTTTTGAGAGAAAGAGGAGATGAAGGGAAGAGATTTCCGAGGGGTCCGAGAAGGATAGAGCGATGGTTGAGTGGTGGAGAAGAAGAGAAGAGAAGACAGTTTGGGGTTCTGCGGGTTCAGCAGAGGTGAAACAGACATGGTTTTGAGCAGAAGAAGTAAAGGTGAGTGGGGGATTTGGTGAAGCTGACTCAGATGCAGTACAAGAATTACCAGAGTTGAGCGTGGGGCGAATAACTGCAGAGAAAATCATCACCACTCCATTATATTCTCATCCGTTCATTTCATATCATTTTTTTCCAAATACCTCACTAAATTTTTCATTTCAAGAATTTCATTGAAGATTTTAGGTTATCACATTGTTTGAAAATATCTTTTTTGAACAAAAAAACAAAAACAAAATACATACAATTTTGAGAAACCATAAATATAACAAGCACGAGGCCGACATACTCTCCCTCTCCCTCTCCCTCTCCCAATCTGGAATTAGGAAAAACATGAAAAATATATCCCGATATAATATTATATTTTTGTTAATAATTTAATTAAAAATATATATTTTGTTAAACCAAGTGTACTCCCGAATCATTTTGCACCGCTTTACAAAATAATTTTTTCTTCGCCTTAATATATATACATATATGTAGATAATTTTTTTAAAATTCATAATATCCAGACAAGGTAAACATCGTCGTTATCGCTTCACCACAGAGAAATGCTGCCATGCTCATTACAGAAACCTCACGACAGAGATCATCTTGACCTAGTTTTTGGCCATATCCCTGCAAGTCCAGCAATCACACATTTCTTCCTAATTGCATTGAATATGACTTCGTGTTCAAAATCCCAGATTTACATAATAAAAATGAGATAAAATCTATCCAAATTCACTAAATATGATCACACTATTATATAAACCATCTTCAACCAAAGTACGAAGTAACATCCACCACTAGCGATGTCAAATATGGAGTGCAAACAACAGAATCTGCTCAGAGTCTTAGGCCAAACGACCCCTTACATAACCAAATAAGAGTTTTTTAAGTTCTCTAACTTCTCCATAGATGATAACAGAACAAGTACATCACCTAGAACCACGCATATACTTCCTTTCTGGGCTTCCATAAGGAGAATAAGACCTGTCCCTCCTAGATCTTCCACCACCATGGGGAGAATAGTCGCGACCTCCTCGATAAGGTGAGCGTCTTGGAGACCTCCGAAACCCGAAGTCTTCTCGTCCAGATCCACCGCGATACCTGCCACGATCACCACGGCCTTTGCCCAAATGCACCCGTAGCCAAAATTTTAGTTGCAAATTAATCCAAACCACAAATAAAATCATTCCCAAGAAAGAGACACAACAATAACTCACCGTAATCCCTAGTACTCTTCAGACCAAGATAGTGTCCTGGTGTAGGAGTTCTTGGTCGTTTTCTCCGGGACTGAAATGTAAATAAAGCACATCTCCTTGGTAAATAAATCCATTTAGAACAGACAAGCTTTTTTTATCATAATAGAGGAAGACCAATGGTTTCAGGCATGTTCATATTAATAGGACCACTAAAAGGATATGCAAGAAGCAGTTTCATTCAAAAATCTTGAAGGTATGGGAAGCAACCGGTTTACAAAGGTGGGAAAAGGAAAAACCACGACACAACCAGCCTAAACCAGTGGGCCACTAGATGAATATCAGGTGTGAAATACCATAAAATCTGATTATATAGTTGTTGATAATGTCCGTTGATTAGTTGAGTTGAAAGTGAATGCTGAGGTTGTATAGTTGTTGGACAATATAGATGATTTGATTAGTTGATCAGATGCATTTGAAAAAGCTGTTTAAGCTGGCCATTGATCAAGCTGTATTTCACTTAAGTTGACATGGATGAACTGATCATCTTTGATTGCTGCCAACAAAGCTGACGCAATATCTTCTGAATATAACCAGAAAACCTCCAAGTAAGAAAATGATAACCAAGCAAATTTTGATAGTTTCTACCACCAAGGATGAATCTGATTACCTTCTCAACAGTTATGTACCGGCCCTCCAAAACAGACTGGTTGAGGTACTTGACGCAACGGTTGGCATCGTCAACAGAATCCATTGTAACAAATGCAAACCCACGAGAAATCCGAGTGCGTGGCTCCACGACAAGAAAACATGATGCAACCTAGGAAAAACAAAACACTCTGTTTAGAAAAACACAAAACCATGATCTTCACATCCAGAACAAAATTAAGACGCAGGGAAAAGAACAGAGAAAAGAAGCAGAAGGTGAGAACAAGAACAGTAGACTTGAATATGTAATCAAAACAAGTGAAGAATCTAACCTTTCCCTCCTTAGAGAAGTGTTCTTCAAGGTCCCTTTCAGTGACTCGTGTGGATAGGCCGGTAACATAGAGGGTATTTCCAGGATTCACAACCTCAGTCCTGCCATGCCATTTCACAACGACAAGAAAGAAAAAATTAAATAGCCTTCAAAAGTATGAAAAAAAGAGAACTTGAAACAGCAACACGAGTGCTGCAACTCCATCACCAGGACATAACTAACCTTCCGCGACTTCGAGACCTTGATCTGGCAAAGGAGAGAACATAGACAGATAGTTAAGACCGATACTTAGGTATCATTATGACAAACTGAAGACAAACTAACAAAAGGGAAACCAAATTAGCAACCAACCTGCCACGACTTCTGGACCGGGATCTAGGCCTTGTATTGGACAAAGATCTGGACCTGGATCTAGGTCTGGATCTAGATCTTGATCGAGATCTGGACTGTTCTCTCCAAGGGGAGGGAGAACGAGAATCCCTGATGCAAACATAGATAAAAAATGAGATTGTGAACGAGAGAGAATAAAATACGTTAGACCAGACTATGCAAACAAAACAACTTCTAGAGAACAATGAGTCCGACCTTCCTCAAAAAAAAAAAAAATCACAACACTAAATAGCACTATTGTATAGCATATTCTATCTCCTTTTCTTCCTCCTCTTTTTCAATTCTAAAGCATCCACAGATTCCCATTTTAATTTTGTTACAAGGCAACAAGCATTCAATGAAAAAAATGTCGATTTATCAAGTGAAAATTCAATTTAAAAATTTGAATTACAGCATACTACATTCTTCACCCAACAGAATGGATACAAATATTCAATTCAAGATACACACAAATCAATATATCAATGGAGTAAATCGAAAAACCCTAGAACAGCGCACCCAAAAAAAAAATTAACAATAACATTAAGAGAAGAAAAATATCTTGAAACAGCAGCGACACAAACAAGTGTAAAAAATTTAGGGGGTACCTTTTGCGAGGAGAATCCGCCTGCACCGAGAAGAAAAATAAAGAAGCATTGAGATTATATTTCGTTTATCGAACAACGACAGAAACAGAAAAGGGGGAAGGGATAGACTTACCATATTCACAGGAGAAAGATTAGCCCTAGAAAACGATTAGAACGGAGAAATTGAATTTTGGGGGAAAGCAGGAAAGGAATCAAGGCTACGGCTGCCTTAGAGGATGAAGCTCGCAGATCTTAAAAGGGGCTGGA